CTATTTTTGAATTATGTTCCATTCTGGCATGAGTGACAGTAGTTTTTAAATGTCTGGTTTGTTGCCTGTATATAAATTATGATTTTAGACACCAACATCATATCTGTAGCTTATTTAGTTCCAATTATATGCACATTTTAGATACATTTTTCAAAATGGCCGCCATTTGTATACCAGGTGAAAAATCAAGTGTCAACAGGGCTTAGGGTAACCAGGACGGATTAATTAGGATATCTGGCTATGTTGACTGCTTCTAACATGCCACTCCCCCTAACTTGATTTCTAGGCCTCTTTTTTATTTTTTTCCTACCACGCGACCACGAGAACTGAACGTTCTCGCATGCGCAGATGACCATGTAACGTCATTACGTTCTACGTCCTACTGTCGTGGTGCAATCAAAAACTATCAGTGCATTTCCGTCAATTTTATTTTGTGTTGTCTGTTTACATAAAGATAGAAAATCAAGCATGGCAATAATAAGAGAAAGAATAAACTCAATGTCTCAGATTTAATGAATATGGTAATGGCTGTGACTTGAATAGCGCATAATAATTCTGTATGCTCTTTCAAAAAATTAATGTTCAATAGAAGTTTATCGTTTAGGATTTACATATGCATATATATAAACCTAAATAGCTTAATTAATTGCGTGAAATACTTATACGAATACGAATGTGAAACAGACATTTTAACGCTTAAAGCAATAGACATCGGCAACCTTCTGATCTTTTGGTTTGTAACCCCAGCTGCGGATACCAGGATTAGTGTTAATACCACATCCTTGGCGAGGCATCCTAATGGGATATCTAACGCTACCATCGGAGAGCCATCCGGCAAGGCAGGCATCTAGTCCAACTTCCCAGGCAGCTTGGAGTTGAGCGGGGGTAGCAATCGTGGCGCCACGGTCAATACATGCCTGTTTCGCCTCTTCGAAATTATACGTATATCTGCCATTGGCAACATGAAATACTCCATCGTGGTCTGAAAAAAAGAAGCCAGAAACATATATTCTTAGATTTAAATTTAATGTCAGCATGATAATGAAACTACGTCACACCACGTGAACATTACATCCCAGCAAACACAAAACGCTATAACAACATTCGCAAATGTTGATGTTATGTCAGAAAAAATACCGTTAAGAATTTCATAGCTGACGTATTCCCGTAGTTCAGTAGGCCTATCATAGGTCCTACGTCATCGTAAATAAACATTTATAGAGAAATGCTTGTGTCTTCATTGTGTTATTTATTAATTTTAACACTGTATACATTGTATTTAAAACCCTGTTTCTCAACGTGTTTCATTACACACAGGGAGATAATATAATCTCTAGATTAAGCGCCACGGAGCATACGGTATTCGACGGGAGAGCGGCGATTATAGCTAAAAAAAAAATCAGGCTTGGTGCGGCGCTTATTCGAGAGCGGTGCATATTCAGCATTTATGGTATTTGCTAATTCCTAGTCTATGGGGGTTGGAGCCGCGATTGTGTTTCGGTCTTTGTGGAGTAGAGTTAAATAGGTCAGTGGTTAAGATGCTTGCCTTCTGATCCCAGGATCTTGGGTTCAGTTTCTGACACAGCAGGAATTTTTCTCACGACTAAAAACAACTCCACTACCTAAGCCTCATAAAGAAGCTTAGCTTATAAAGTATCATTCTCATCCTGTTGTTAGTGGCGAGTGTACTTGCTGTTGGATGTGAGGGAAATTAAAAAAAAAACCCTCGAGGTCCGGGGTTTGAACCCTTCGCTTTGCATTTCGATTGTGTTCTTGGATAATGATAAGGCACTTTACTTCTCTTCACCCTGGAGTATAAATAGGTACTTGGTTGAAATATAATGAGGTGTTAAGACAAAGAGGCGTGGAAAAAGAGAACGGCCACCCTACCACACATTTGCCGAGGCTTAGTAGCCTACATTGGGCTAACAACTCATTCCTGGGCCCCTACGTTCAGTAATGAATATATGAGCGGGACTGTACCCTTACCGTATTGTATTCCTATTTTTTTTACTAAAATAGTTACAACAGATTTCTAAAGGAGCTTCTGACTTCTTTGTAAATGCCCTTGTGACATGTTGCCCAGGCCCGTAGAAAGGGGGGCTTTTATGGTTCGGGCGAAACCCCCTTTTCTAGCGAACCACCTCAAATTTTTGAATGAGTCCCACTCGGACGGAATGTTTGTTTTTAACTTACCTAGCATTAAATCAAAATTTAGCACCTAATTCATTATTTGGTCACCCGTTTTTAATTTGTAGCCTGCGATAGAAGCCTACATTCATAGAATATCTCAGCTTCAGAAGTTCGGAGATTTAAATTGAACGCAACTCCAGCAAACCATGACTTTACGATGGCACACATAAGAATGGCAAACATCGATAAAAAACCGGCTGCCGTCTCAACTTTCACTGGCCTTTGGCTGAATGTTTGTAAGAAATGTACCAACTGTTAACGAAACCGGTCGCCGTCTACCTAGAGTAAATGGTGCCACCAAACGAAGCTAAATTTTTGCGACTTAATTTAACAAATGTAGATAAAGTTTTGCGACTTAATCACCTGATTGTGGATTGTGTGGTTAGTAAATCCACTGTCCATAGCGCACACTAAACTATGTGCTGATGGAGCATTTTTGGGATATTAACTCTCCTTTTTTCCATCCCAAACAAAATATTATTAATAAATCAACATGGTCCATCTCAGTCATCATAGGCCAGTCACAAAATTAGGCTAGGAAGTTTGTTTTCAACAGCAGACACACACTACAGAACGGAGTGCGTCAAAACGAGTGTTTGTTAATTTTTAGTGATAAAGAATCATAAACGTCCTAGAATAACTAACTTTTTTTCGTCTGCTGCTGCAAAGAAGAAAATGACAGATAGTCCTTTAAGGTGGGTTATTGATTTTAAAATCAATTAGCCTAGCCTAGATGTTGACTAGCTAGGTTCGCTCCTCGTTCATTTAGAGACAGAATTATACCCCGACGACAACAAACTAGTGTAGGCCTAAGTACAGCAGGACGTACTAGGCCTATGGCTTTTGTTGTTAAAGTTGAAGTGCATGTACAAAATGCGCCATAGGGCTATATTAAAAAAAACAAACAAACAAACATTTTGTTAATTATTATTGGTTGGCCTGGGACCGGGGCAGGCAGGCTAACTTTACCGTCCTGGAATTCGACGATGACGTCAGTGCACGTTTACAAACGCCATTGATTAGAATGAAAATAGACGCGCTGAATTTCGTTTTTTTTTTTTTATTTTTTTTTTATGAAAGATAGAATTTATGGAACATTTATCTATATAAAAACAAGATTAATATTGTAGAAATTGTATTTCTAAAGAGGCATATAATTCATATTTCATTTGGCAGACAATAAATATTCAAGAAGATATAATAAAAACGATTATTAATTCTAAAATGTGCATCAAATCTCAGCTATTATTAATAGCATTTATCTATATAAAAACAAGATTAATATTGTAGAAATTGTATTTCTAAAGATGCATATAATTCATATTTCATTTGGCAGACAATAAATATTCAAGAAGATATAATAAAAACGATTATTAATTCTAAAATGTGCATCAAATCTCAAAGCTATTATTAATCAGTATGTAGCTACTATTATGTTTAAGTCTTAAAATAATAATTTCGAATTAGGCCTAGTATATAACAAATAATTGTATTAAAGTTTAGGTTCTCATGATGTCAGATAACGTATTCAATATGATGCTATATTTTGGGCTCTGACTTAATTTAACGATGGCCCTCTGAGTAGTATTGAGTATTATTCTCATTCGACTGGTTCGAAAAATAGACTTCGTTGACTACGAAAATTAACGTAACCAGAATGCGTTAATCAGCGTTAAGTTATTCACGTGACCAAAAAAAAAATAAGGCCGATTGGTCAGTTAGGCAACAACATTTGCGTTAATATAATTTAGGTTAAATTTCAGAAAATAAAAATTATAATATTTACCCACATTGAAGTTAAAAAATAACTGTAGGCTAACACAATTCAAAAACTGGATGAAAACATTTGTTTACGAAAAACCCATACTGCCACAATTCGAAGCAGCCTTGATTACCCAGCGTGTATCGCGGTAACTATGCAGTCATTCTGTTTTGTCGAGTATTTGCCAGTTTTTTATTCGACTGGTCGTCTTCGTTAAGTAGGATTTTGCCACTGCGCAGGTGGGCGTGGTTTAACAAAGAACGACCAGCCAAACACGGCCAATATCAAATTATCACAAACAATTCCTATCCTCCCAAAAAGTATTAGTGGTATGCTATCAATATATGCTATAAATGTTCCAGGATTTTTGTTTTTTTCGTACAAATTTGCATAAAACTCAACTCGGGCCGTCTCGATTGACTTGACTTAACGAAACTAGGACTGTTGTACTTACAACGAGAGCATGTGCACCCCTTGACATCATCCATCTTGCTGTTTATTTCAGTTGTTATGTCAAAGATTTGCTGAACTTGAGTTTTCAATGCAGAATTTTGAATTTCAACCTCAAAATCAAATTCTTTCACTGTACCGGACAGGACTTCGGCCTTGAGGAAAATCATAATATGATTAGTCGCACTATTTTTTAGTTTCAGGTTTGTACCATCAAATTCATGTATGTAGCCACTCCAATTTTAGAGTGTCTGCGCCCTCCGATTTCGGAGGGTTGATTAAACTTCGATTTTGGACGCGTAAATACCCATTTGGTTTTCGCTTAGAGCACGCATCAAATTCCGAATTAGGAGGGTTGATTGAAAGTTTTGAATCTTCGATTTTGGACGCATAGTAACCGTAAGCAAAAGCTCCAAAATCTGTGGGTTGATTACAAGTTTTGAAACTCCGATTTTGGAGTTTTATTCGCGTATAGTTCGCTAAAACTCTAAAATCGGAGGGTTGACTAAAAGTTTTAAGCTCTGATTTTTTTTAATCTTTCGCGTATAGTACGCCGAAGTCAGAGGGTTGATTCAAAGTTTTGCTCTCTCTATAATTATAAGAAGAGCTTGTTTAATTCATAATACGTTTAGGGCGCAAAAACCTCCGAAATTGGAGTAGGGCCTATTATTTGCGCCGTGCGCGCAAATTCCGATTTTAGAGTTTTTGCGTATAGTACGCAAAAACTCCAAAATCGGAGGGTTGATTAAAAGTTTTCAAACTTGGATTTTTGAGTTTTCATGAATGTACGTAAACAAATTGAGTTTTTACGCAAAAAAATGTTTGCGTACATTCATGAAAACTCCAAAATCCAAGGCCGCAAAAACTCCAAAATCGGAGGGTTGGCGGCAGCATATATATATATATATGATCATTTTGTATACGTAAATAATACTTAAATTGCATTAACACACACATTTGTTAGTAAAAACTTTAACATATTCTTAATTTGTGTAGAAACAGCATCCTCTTTTAATGTTACTTATTAACTCACAGGACTGGCGTAAAGTTCGCCTACTGTAAAGCACCTTGATCGTTATGGAAAGTCTGATATTAAAAATTACAAGGTGATCAGGGGTGGCGAGTGGCTGAGAGCCGGGATCTCCCGTCAATGATCCCGATCCTGGCGCCATCCCTGATGCTGAAAATGCTTTACATTTCCTACAGTACTGCTCTACATAAATTTAGGTTATTTTTGTTGTATTATATATCCTCACCTTGGTTACTGTTGTCGAAAACACGAGGGTGACGAAAATGATGTTGACCAAAGTCATTGTAATGAGATGAAATAGATTTGAAATTTTAGTTGGCACCAATTTATGTAATGAATGATTCAATTTCAAAGCAATATCTGACGAATTGTGTGCGGGTGTCTGTGTGATTAGGCTATATACGTTGTATCCCCGGAAACAACGCCAAGGACAAAATTCGTGGCCGCGTCTCTATGTTTCACCTTATATGGTTATATTATGTTAATTATCACCTCTTGACATAGATACAATAGTACATTATAGACAGTCATTGGATTAAAAAGGATTAAAGGCTGTATAACAATGTTATATTTATTTTTTGTGGTTTTCAGCTTCCACTCCCTGTCGATCTGTTATAGATATGATTCCGGTTTTTTTAAATCTATCTAATAAGGTTAAACAGAGACCCTGGTGAGAGACATAATGGTGACGATTTTCGTTCACACTGGGTTTAGAGGCATCATCAATCTCCCAGTAAACATGAATTTATGTGTGAACAAATTCAATAGACCTTTCCGGAGTGTCAATCAAACTTAACAACTGACCAATCAGAACAGGGCTAGGAATACGCGAGGTTAGGTCCACAATAGAGTCATTGTATCATCCGGACTGGGAGCTAACCGTTAGCACCCGTGTCGGTAGAGATCTTGCATCTGGAAAAAAGTATTGGTTGAATTTGTGAGAGAAAGGGAATTTCATGGTTTGGCATGTTTCAACGAATTCAATTTCAATGTATTTTATCATCTTGTCTCAACAGCTAATTGTTTAGTTCTATTGGCGCCAGGGGTGCACCCGGATTTGTCTGAAAAGGGGATCCGATCTCCCCAACGGGTGAGGGGGAGATTTCCCTACGAGACCAAAGTGGGCAATTTAAGGAATTCAAAGGCTTATTTAATCGATTTTCTTGTTTATTACCTCATTAAATACATGCAACTCATAACTGATAACAAGGAACGTAAATATATATTAATTTCATATTAGTTTACCAAATGTTGAACAATTTTCGTCAGAAATCCAATTTTTTACTCGCATAAAACACAAAATTAAATTCATCGTTAATGTTAAATAAGGTAAGATAAGATTTATTGTCCAATAAAACATCTGGAAATTTGTTTTCCTCTGGCAATGCAAAGAAACATGAGTTTAAAAGGTCATGCTGATATTTCAAATCGATTACTTAATATCCTAGAACTTTATTTTACTTTAGTTTAGTGTAACAGGTGACAATATGCTTTTGTAAAAGCTACATTTCATCTTTAATATAATATCTAATCTATTTAATATCAAAGCCAAACGAAATTCTATGAAGATTTATAATAATAATATAATAAAAAATTCCATATTTTTTGCATACATGCATTTTGCAATTTTATTCAACATTTACCATTAAATAATATGAATGATCGATGTAGTGTCCTATTGATTTAAGGCTATGTTTACATTAGCATACCTTAAACGAAAAAGATTAAGCCTTATCAACCAATAATTTGTAAGCATTTATTAAGCACTGTATTTTGTCGTTAGAATTGTGGATAATGTTTATTTTTAGAGAATACTACTGTTTCAACACTATGCAAAAGTACAGCATGTCGACAGCATCCGTTCTATTTGACAGGGTTGGTTTCGTCAGCCACTATATATAAAAAAACAAAACAAAAAATTAAATAAAAAAACATTATGACAACAAATTAAATAAAATGTATTTATTTTTTAAATATTGCTTTTTTATTGTTTATAATAATTAGTAGTAAAAAATAACGGTCTACTTTAATGTATGTAGCAGTAAAATTCATGAAATAGATTCGGATTACTTCAAGACATCAGTAAGTTATACCAACTTGAATGTAATTTCTCACGTAGCAAAAACAGCAAAAAAAAAAAATAATTTGATTTGATTATTAAAATAGGATAATTATTTTGAATTGCATATAATATAAATAAAAAGAAACGTATATAATAACGCCCCTTTGCATTGCCTACCTGGGCAACCTAGCACTTCAAATCTCATGCTTATATGTCCATTCCAAGAGAGGGGATGGATTCTAATGAAACGAGCGTGCACTCCAGCAGGAAATAACCTGGTGACAGCGGTGTCCGCATCCGAATTTCCGACAAATTCCTAAAAAAAAAAAAACAATCCAGATATATTTTTATACCAAGTTTTAATTTATAGTTTAATACTATTTTGATATATCGTTCAAGTTCAATATAATTTCTTTACCATTGGCACGCCTGTACTACCCACAATTGGTTCCCAGTTGTTGGAATCTATACTGTAAGAAACCTTGTATGACTGCACCCATTGTCCAGGAGTATATCCATTACGTCCTTGGGTCACCACACCAGAAACCTGCCTTATTTTCCCCAAATCAACTTGGATCCATTGATTATGATCACTTGTTTTGGCAGCCCAAGCACCAATACCATCGCTATCCGGTACGAGATTCAATCTAGCACGACGTGGTCCATGTTGGGCATTGTATTCGCTGGAAGCTTTAATACTAGCTGATGGGATAGCACCAGATTCCATACCTAAGCCGTCAATACAAGGTACTAAATAGAAATACAGAAAATTATTAATTAAATTTGTATTTGTCTGTTAGTGTGTAAGTTTATGTTCAGTGTTTTGATGCATACGAAAATTGTAAGTGTAGCTCCTTGTGTTAAAAAAAAATTATTCTTGCAAAACATATTCATATTAGTTACAAAATAAAAAATAAAATTAAAGAGGTATAAAAAAAGTAGAATAACGTCTTTTTAAATTGCTTACCTGGACAACCTAGAACTTCAAATCTCATACTTATGTGTCCATTCCAAGAGAGGGGATGGATTCTAATAAAACGAGCGTGCACTCCAGCAGGAAATAACCTGGTGACAGCGGTGTCCGCATCCGAATTTCCGACAAATTCCTAAAAAAAAAAAACAATCCAGATATATTTTTATACCAAGTTTTAATTTATAGTTTAATACTATTTTGATATATCATTCAAGTTCAAATAATTTCTTTACCATTGGCACGCCTGTACTACCCACAATTGGTTCCCAGTTGTTGGAATCTATACTGTAAGAAACCTTGTATGACTGCACCCATTGTCCAGGAGAATATCCATTACGTCCTTGGGTCACCACACCAGAAACTTGTCTTATTTTTCCCAAATCAACTTGGATCCATTGATTAAGATCGCTGGTTTTGGCAGCCCAAGCACCAATACCATCGCTATCCGGTACGAGATTCAATCTAGCACGACGGGGTCCATGTTGGGCATTGTATTCGCTGGAAGCTTTAATACTAGCTGATGGGATAGCACCAGATTCCATACCTAAGCCGTCAATACAAGGTACTAAATAGAAATACAGAAAATTATTAATTAAATTTGTATTTGTCTGTTAGTGTGTAAGTTTATGTTCAGTGTTTTGATGCATACTAAAATTTTAACTGTAGCTCCTTATGTTAAAAAAAAAAATTACTTGCAAAACATATTCATATTAGTTACAAAAATAAAAAATATAATTTCAGAGGTTTAAAAAAAGTGAAATAACGTCTTTTTAAATTGCTTACCTGGACAACCTAGAACTTCAAATCTCATACTTATGTGTCCATTCCAAGCGAGGGGATGGATTCTAATGAAACGAGCGTGCACTCCAGCAGGAAATAACTTGGTGACAGCGGTGTCCTTATCAGAATTTCCGACAAATTCCTAAAAAAAACCAATTGAGATATATTTTTATACCAAGTTTTAATTTATAGTTTATACTATTTTGATATATCATTCAAGTTCAAATAATTTCTTTACCATTGGCACGCCTGTACTACCCACAATTGGTTCCCAGTTGTTGGCATCCATACTGTAAGAAACCTTGTATGACTCAACCCATTGTCCAGGAGAATAACCATTACCTCTTATACACATCTAGATGTGTATAAGAGACAGCCAGGAGAATAACCATTACGTCCTTGGGTCACCACGCCAGAAACCTGCCTTATTTTCCCCAAATCAACTTGTATCCATTGATTAAGATCTCTGGTTTTGGCGGCCCAAGCACCAATACCATCGCTATCCGGTACGAGATTCAATCTAGCACGACGGGGTCCATGTTGGGCATTGTAT